TATTGTGATAGAATGTGAATATTAGCATTGATATGGGGTGCAGTGGCAATACATTTTTAATAAAAAGAATACCAATGATTTTCAATGGTAAATAATGTAAAAAATCAATAATAATTATATAAATTATAAATGAGATTTTAATAAGACTTAAAGATGTTGCATTGATGGCCAAAAACTACATATGACCTTCTGGTGTTGGGCAATGTTTTAAGTTTTAGAATCAGAAAAAAAAAGAAAATGAAAAATGTTATAGCAATTTATTGTAATGCAAATCAATATATCATGGATCTCGCTATTCATTTTTCATATAGCTAATGAGCTTAGCTAATCCCTAATGTTATACTAGGAATGTTGGCAAAAAAAAAATGTTTTATTGGAAATAATTGGAGCTTTTCAATAGGAAAAACAATCAATAATTTTTATTCCCTTTGATATACAATTAAATATATAACAATACAAATATCAACTCCTACACACACTCATATATATATATATATATATATATATAACAGGGGTACCAAGAAATTATTATGGAGGCCTAAAGCAATTGTCTTACTTGCCTTACAGTTTCCAAACCTTGAGATTGGGACATCCCAAGTCAATAACTAAGGTGTTTAATTTGTACCTATTTCAATTAAATCTGATTCTATCCCGGCCTGAAAATAATTAAGATGGAACTTTGTGGGACGAGACATAATATTATATATATATACATTGAAAATATATATTAAATATATTAATTATATTAATATAATTTATACTTATATTAATTATGTCAATTATAATTTCAATAAGTGCAATTATTATTTAAAACTAAGTTTTTTATATTGATAATTTTAATGATATAGAATAAACAGTACATGATAATATATTTCTTTATAATATATTAAATATATTAATATAATTTATTATTATATCTATCTATTTAATAACTTTTATTTATATAGTATTTCTTGCTTTATTTTTAAAAGAGTAATTAGCCTAGCATATCTTAATTAAAAAATAATAATAATGACTTGATATTGTATCTAACTTGTCTTTTATTGTTACTCTTATAACTTAAATATCACTTGTAATTGCTATCATAATATTATACACTTATAATTATGATTGATAGAATTCAATAACTAATTTTGAATTATTGTGATTTATGTACTCTTGTTATTTTAATTTTAAACTTAATAAATTATGTAGTTTAAAATTTTAATTAATATTATTATCCATACCTTTCTCTTATATTGTTCGATTTATCGAGATAGCAGGACATCTTAATCTCATCTCGATCCTGTCTTAATTCTTAACGAGATGGGACAAAACATGGAATAAAAATTTAGTCTCAATCTTTTTTCAAGACAAGAGATAAGATGTAACATCCTAATTTTTAGATAAAAAAAATTTATGAAATTTAAGTTTTTTTTAAAATGATGATAATAATAGTAATTTATATTATTTGAGGTTATTTGAAAATAATAATATGGTTAGGCATTTAATTATGAATTAAAAACTTAAGTTTAAAATTATATAAGAAATATTTTGTTAAGATATAATTTTAAGATTTAAAAAAAATATTATTAATGTGTGAGTGTGAGTTAAAAAAAAGGAAAAGAAAAGAAAGTAAAAAAAAAAGGGGAAGGGGGTTTAGTCCCACATCGGTTAGATGTGGGAATGAAAAGCACCACCTCCTGTATAAAGAGGAGGTGCATTGTGGAGGAAGCATGAAGAATTTTTTATTGCAATTTGTGAAAATTGCAATTAAGGGCCCAAGATGCAATTTGTGAAAATTGCAAGTAATGGCCCAAAGGTTTGAATAATTAAATTCAAACCTATAATTTTTTTAAATATAATTTTGGGACCACAATCCCATTTTTATATTATTTTTCTCTCTTTCTCTCACGTTGCTCGGCGTTTTCTCGCAAGGGGGGATTATTTTCTTTTTCTTCAGGTATGTTCTAACTTTCCTGTTTAGATTAAAATTTAAAAATTTATTTAATTACAAAATTAATTTTATAGTTATTTTCTAAATAATATTAGCTTTCTAGTGATATGATTATTTTGTAGGATAGAGTAAATATTCTGATTAGGATTTTTCTATATGATAGTTAATCTGATGATATGATGGATTAAAAATATAGGTTAAAACTCTTAGGGATATAATAAATATTATAGAATATTTTTTTGAGGTTGAAACTCATGTTTAAGAATTTTTGAGTTAAAATCTAGATCTATATGGTTGAATTTATGTGGAATCTGAGATGTAGGGATAAACTTATGATTATTAAATATTTATTTAAGTATGAATAGGTATTTTTGAGGTTATAGAAAGGTGATTTGAGACTTCAGGATAATTTTAAAATTTTTAATTTATTTTTGGACGAATTTTTAGAATATAGAAGGATGAAATTGTGATACGAGAAGTGATTTAAGGATAAAAAAATAGTTTATTAGGGTACGAGAATTTTAGAAAAAGAATTTGGGAAGTTAAATGAGGCATAAAACTTAAATTAGTATTAATATGGATTATAGATCTAAGACTTTCTAATTCTTTAAATTAGAGTTATTTATTTTAATGTAAAATTAATATATAGTATTGTGAAATAATTATGTAGATTATATTGACAAAGATAGTAGTGAAAAAGGAGTTGTGAAGGGGAACTTGTTATTCAAGACACAAGGTAACCATTATTAATGTGTTGTGATGAGTGTGTTTGTGAATGGTTATGTGTTGACTTGTCGTTTGGAAAAAAAACTATGAATTATTGAAAATAAATACTGTTATATACTTGTTTGAAATTATTGCCAAGTGGGTCAAGAATTTATTTTTATTTATCATGATGAGATATTATTGTTCGGATATATTCCTGTTTGGATATTTGAATGATGCATGACTTGTCAGGATATTTTAATGTATGGTGTTAATGGGAATTTCTGTTCGGTTAATTATTACCACGTGGTAAGCCCTCATTGGACCTAATGAGTGGCGTGTCGCTTGGTCCAACTCACCTTTGGCCGGGTGATTTGGCGTCCGAGCATGGCGAAAGGAGGATATAAGGTGTAGTCATGCAAATTAAATACTTGTTCGGTTTGTTTGAAAATATTGTTCGGTTAAATGTTTTGTGTGCCCACTTAGCAATCGCATGATTAGTTACATCCGCATGCATCATTACATATTAATTTTTGGTTACTGGGACTTTTAAGTCTCATTCCCCGTGGTTAATATTTTTACAGGAGCGAATCCGACCGAGAAAGCACCAGAGGTGTAATTATGGTGTATGAGACACCATCTTTTACGTTGCCTCTTATTTTAGATTATACGATGTATCTTGTGCCAACTTAGGACATATCTTGTTTGTGGAGCATGTAAACTCTAATTTTTTATTAAATGCATTTATATGTCCAAGAGGATTATGTCTGTCCCTTTTGATTCATGACCTAATTTGAATAACATACTATGAGGATCATGTCTGTCCCTCATGGTTCTAATTGCTTTTTGAGATATTTTAAGACTGTGGTATATTGTCTTGGATGTATCATGGTGGAAATTTTTTCTACCATGATAAGGGTATGATAAGGGTTCAAAAAAAAAAGAAAAAAAAATAATTTGTTGAATTAATAATTTGCGAAAAATCGGTTTGTAAATTTGAGGGTGTTACATAAGATGGAGGTGTTTCGGTTTTGTTTTGTCCCATGAACATCCCTATGGATAACATAGGAAAAAGACTTGGGACTTAAAATTGTATTAACATAATTAACATATTATTAAAAAAATATTACCTCACACTACTTGTTTTATGCCATTAAAATTATTAATATAAAAAACTTTTAATTCTAAATAGGGATTGAAAATATTAAAATTAAAATTAAAATTTATTATTAATGTAATTAATAAATGAATAAACTATATTAATATATTTAATGCATATTTTTTAAAAAATAATAATATATATTATAATATTTGAAATGAGATGTCTCGAAAGCAATCACACGTCCTGTCCCTTCTCGAACCACTTTCCATCTCATCTTGAAAAATCTCATCTCACTTTTTTCAGGTTAGGAAAGACCTTTTCTAATATGACCAAAATAAAATTGGGTCGGCCTCATGTAAATGAATGTATCATAAAATTTTTAAAGTAATTAAATAATATATCGTTTATATAAAACAAAAATCTATGAAAATACTATAAAATCTTAAAATGGTTGATTAATAATTATTTTTATTATTGTAACCAAGTATAAAATGATATCTTCTTTTTATAAAATATTTAAATTATATAAAAATAAATTATTTTAATCTTAAAATAAATAAGTGGTAAAATTCACATACCTTCGTCCCTCTATTCCTGTTCTCTAATTCTCTAATGGCAGCGAGTTCCATCATCAAACCAGACAAGGAAAAAAAGTTAAGAATTTTAATTGGAAGAATGACAAATATCATAAGTACCTTGTAAGAGAATTAATGTCAAATTAAAATTTTTAAACATTGACATTTTTAAATTTCAATATTCCTTTTACCATGCTTTAATACTAAAATTTTTCATTTGGTATTAATATTCTTATAAGTTCTTCATTTGTCATTCTCCTTATTTAATTTTCCATTAAAAAGAAACACACTTGGAACAAAACCAACGATCAGGATTTCTCGTAAAATGACCAGCCCTTGTTGCATTCCTTGGAGGAAAACGACCTCGTTTTAACATGCAGCACATGTTCGGGTCTAGCATAATATGAAAATCTGGATCAACCTGCTTGATTAAACTAATAAATTGTCAAATCAACATCTTAATTAATTTAATAAAATGTTTTATATGTAATCAATTTGATAATGGTTTAACCATGTTTTTTTATTATTAATTCTTGAACTAGTATTTTGATGAGTTTTTTAAATATATTGAGGTCATATTTCCTTAAAACAGCTACTGTTGCAGTTTTAAATTCCCATTTCATGCATCTAATTTTATTCCTCTTCATCGTTTACTTCATTAAAATAAAAATATTTTCAACAACCAAACGCCTAATTAATAATCAAATTTAGGAAGATGCATGTGCACGCATGTATAATCTCACCTTTTTTGTAGTTGACCAGGCGAGAATCTCACCTAAATGATGAACTTTAAACAACGTATCTCTTTTCAAATCTGGCATTGTCAATTTTAGAAAGACAATTACAAAATTGTATTTCAATATGATATTAAAGCTATATATAAAAATTTTTCATGCATTATGCTTAATTAAAGAATGAATGGTGCTATTAATAAACCATGAATAATGGGATTTTGTAATATCTATTGATGATTACTTGTTATTAATGTGACGAGATTTCCAGTATTGATTCCCCTCCATTTCCACTTGCTTGATGAGACTCTGTTTTGTGTGGAGCAAGACATGAAGCTGTTGAGGTTCAAAAGGAGGAGGCATCTTGCAGGGGGGTCTATCTGTTGCTGGCTTCTGCACCTTGGAATCTTCTAGAAACTTCCTGGCCTTTCTATTAACCATGGAGGTCAATGTCTCGAGAGACACCTGCACGGCCCCTTCTGGCACCGTGACTTTAAACCTCAGCAGTTTCGCATATTCTCGCAACACATGAAGCATGTAATCATATACCAGTTCCATCCTCAGGTTCTGCTCTACGAAGCTGCTCCCTTCTTTCCCAATTGCTTCTGCCTGATCAATCAACCATGTTATAAGAACATATATGTGTGTGTGTGTGTGTGTGTGTGTGTGTATATTATTAATTAAATTAAATAAAAAGTCACTTTAATTTGAAATCACCAGTAATTTGGAGAGAGGGAGAAAAATGGACCTTATCAGGATTAGAGTTGCCCCATTCAACGGCAAAAGTGATGTCCTGGCACATATTTTTGACGGAGACGGGCCAATAATGGTGCAAAGGAACCAAACTTCTTGAGAAGAAGTCATAGTAGTTGGGCTGTATGAATAAGGCCATGGAGTCGCATGCTAGAATGTACTTCTCACTCACCGACCATGACCTCCCTTCCACGTATATCTTGTACCTTCCATTTTCATAAACACAATCAGCGGTCACAAGTTGGGGAAAAAAACACTTGACAAACTTTAATTACCTGTGGTCACATTGATTTTCCAGCTTGGTGTGGTTGTTGCGCCCTCGTTTGGTTTCCTTATCCCATTGCTGAAAGTAAAATATGAATATTTCAGAAATCAAGGTTGTCATCTGAATATGTGCATGATATATAGAAGATTGGTTACCAGAGAATAAATGTGCGCCTTGGAGTGATAGTGATCAGTGGCATTACAGTGAGAGAGGGTGTGGCGAGTGGAAGCCACTCTGGTATTGCCCCTCCAGAATGCCAAGGGCTGCCTGTCCTTCCATTGGCTCCTGTGGTTGTTGTCTTGTATGCTCTTGGATGTTCTCTCCCATGCCCTGATGTTGGTCTCAGCCCTGCAAGCAAATTAAAAGTTCATCAATCAATCATCATATTAATTCATTACACTAAAAAAAAAAAAAAAAAGCTGTTTTAGAGGCGCAGGAGTAGAGGTTGTAAATTACCAGCCCCAGAAGGTCCAATCAGGGAAGACAATATCGAAGGAATGATCGTCGCCACAGTAATGGAAGAGAGGAGGAGGGGGAGGGAGGTGGTCGGGGAAGGAGGTCTTCTTGACGACAGTCAGGTCGTCGCATTGGAAGAGGAGGTCCAAATCTGGGACGCTGTCGGGGTACAACCTCAGGAGCTGCAAGATGCCCCAGAGAGTGAAGACGTCCCTGGTGGCAAAACAAGTCTTGTACTTTTCAAGGTAGGGCTTGCCGTTGAGGATGAGGAGCCTGAAGTTGGACATGTTGGTGGCGGCGGCGCTGTGGAGCATGTCCCTGCTGATGCCGGTGCTGCTCCAGGGCTTGAGGTCCTCGTGGATCCACCTGAAGTGCTCTGGACATTCTTCTCTCCTCTCCTCCCCTCCCTCCAACGCTTCGCTTATCTGGCTTCTTATTTTCGCCTGCAATTTCACTCATCCCCATTCCAACCCATCATTATATAATTTTCATTTCTATTGATGATCAATTTTCTTTTCCTTTAATTGTTTTATGAAAAAAACAAACAGAAAAACGTCTACAAGTATAGTTTAAAAGGAGTGGTATTTAAAAAAAAAAAGATGAATAATTAATTTAATTAATTATTTTTCTTAACACGAGTGGATTAATTAATTAATTCCTATGTTAATTAAATCCGGAAAGATTATTCATTATATATTAAGGGATGAGATTATATATAAGATTTACAAAATATTGTTGGATCAAACGTTAACTAACACATCATCAGAATAAATAATTAAAATATAATTATCTCTCTTTATTTGAAATCTGACGCTGAATCACCGAGAGATAATTACTGTCACTAATAATTTGACTAACAAATATCACTATGACTAAACATATAATTGAATTTTTATAATTTTGTCAGATCAATATTGATTGTCGGCAGATTCTGTTGAATTAGTTTGTCTAACATTTTTTTACCCATTAAACTAACAGATACTGATGACTCGAACAAAGCCTTGTCAATAAAATATTTCAAACTTTATACTATTTTAAACATGTTTTATATCACCAACGATGAACACTTTAAAATCAGGAAAAAAAAATAGGCAAAATTTAAATGACGTGTCTTATTTATCATGTGGCAAAAAATTATTATAGTTATATTGACTAGATCAAAATCAAAGTGCGTACCTAACTAGAATAGCAAGATGATTGTATACTTATATTAAAAACTGAGTCTATTGATATAATTAGTAAAAATCATTCAAGATGTTTGTAACGGATTACTTAATATCCACATTTATATATATATATATATATATATATTGCTTGTGAAATAAAATAATAATGTCATTGTGTGCAATTATATCTCATTGATTGTTATTCTTGTTATTATATTTAATTTTTCTCTGCGTTGTCTCTCCAAATGTATGACATGGATTCAGTTTTATTAGCATGAGATTGTAGATAAGAGAAGCACTATAATGCATTACAAACAAAAACTAAACTTGTAGTGAGATTTGAGAATCAGATGCATCAAGACCAGAAAGAAGGAAACATATATATAGTAAACAAACAATAAGCGTACTAACACAACTACATGTGAGTATATGAGAATATAGCGAGCTTGAGAGAAGATTTAAAAGAATTTGTTCTTAAAGCTTTGAGACCTCAATCATCTATCCTTGGGCCCAGAAATTAAATACAGTGATAAGGAACAAATTAAACAAGCAAATTTGTAAAAGAGACAACGGCTCAAAAATCTCAAAGAGAAGACAATTAACGCATCCAAAACAGACATAGTTACACTAGCTAGATGAATATTAGAAGAATAAAAATTCATTCTAATGAAGGTAAATAAATCTTGAAATTGATCATCATCAGAGAAAGGAGCGAGACGAATTAACATAAGGATGAGAATTGAGAAAGGACTTACATAATCAAATGAAACGAGGCACACGAGGTCGATCCGATTGAAGAGAGAGCTTAGAAGGAAGATAAGCATAAACAAGATGAAGAAGGAAACCCGGGTCAGAAAGCTCGATCTCTTCCTCATTCCACTCAATTGATTTGCCAAAACCTAATAATGCATGACGATGTGTGCGTAAAACACCTGCCATATATATTAGCCAATCCTGTGGAAGGAGAAAGAATCCAGCAGTCCAAAATTATCTTAAATTCCCCTCATTAATTTCAATAAACAATATTGGGAAATATATATTGTGGGTCTCGTTTTTAATTTGTTTTTTTTTTGAAAAAAATGACAGCTGAAGAGTTATCTTTATTTAATATAGTGTGTCTATTAAAATAGAAAATATTTAAAAATTTATATTTTGGACCATTCAGGTTCTGATAGATAGTCCAAATTTATGATGAGTATCATATGATATTGATATTATTAGGTTTTTATATTATAACCAGATACTGCATTCATTCATCAGAATTAAAAAAAAAAAAGAAAAATGTTAATTAATCTCGATAATTTTCCTTTAGAAAAATAAAATTACATTTATAGATTAAATTGCGTATCTAGATAAAATGAAGGCAAGAGTACGCTTTTTATCCTTTGAGTTTTATTTACAATTTAAGGTGTTACGTCATTAAATTCTAATCCGGCACCTCAATTTATAAGTGGTTCCCTTTATTGAAATCGAATAACATGTAGCCTTGAGAGGAAAATTTATCCACGGCAGTGGCACCTGCTATAGTTAGAGAAGTACTGATATATGTTAAAGCCTAGTATCATGTGCTTCTTGTACCTAGTGCCTGTTGGATAAAGAAAGAACGTGCGTTTTGAATTTGAAAATTAATTTTTTCAGTAAATTACCCAAACAGTTAGAAAAGCATGAAAATCAATTTTGAGCCCATACTCATATTTCCCGTAAGCTACTTCCATCTGCTTTATACCAAAAGCTTGTCCAAAATATTAAAAAAAATTATAAAGACAGGCTCAAGAAAAAATTACAAAGAAAGCACATAATTAAATAAAAATAAAATTAAACTCTCTTCTTTTGTCTTTTTTTTTTCTTAATAAAATTTTAACTTTACATCTTCAAAAAATTAATATTTGATATTTAAAAATTAAATTATATAGTAATTTATATAGTAAAAAATTAATTCTGATTAAATTATCCAAACATCTTCAATTTTGTTAAAATTAATTTTAGAAAAATAGTATCCAAACAGATTGCGTTATAATATAATCAATTATGATTAAAATCTACCACTTAATCAATTATTTTTATAATATATTATATCCAACTGAAATCCAAGCGGACCCCTAATAGTTGGGTGTTAAGTGCCGAAATTTGTATTGATTAAAATTTTACACATAGAAATTGTTTTTTAAGGTTTTTCTAAAAATTCTTTTCAAAAGTTCCTATTTTTATTTTGCATACCATATCATAAGAAAAAAAATCCAGTCACCCTACAATAGATATATAATAAATTACTCCCTTCAATCTTATTTATAAGTTATTATTAAACTCATCAATATCAATATAAAAAAATATAAAAAGTAAAAGTAAGTAAAATTTTACATATAACTTTTAAGTAAAAAATAAAAAGTAAATAAATAATATAATATTATTTTTCTGTCTTTTTTCCCTTACTTTTTAAGAATAGTTTAAATAATTTAATTTAAAATAAAATAATTTTATCAATTAATCAATTTTTAAAGTGATTCAGATGATATTTTTAGAAAATGGCTAATATTCCTTTTGATCTTATTTATAAGTTATTTTTACCAACCTTATCAATACCAATGTCCAATACAATAAAGGTATAAAAAATAAAATTTTATAAAATTACAAACATAACCTTCAAAAAGTAAATAAATTATATAATATTATTTTTTTGTTATCCTCTCTCATATTTTTTAAGAGTAATTCAGATATTTTATTTAAAATAAAATATTACTATTAATTTAATAATTTATAAAGTAAATTACTTTACTTTTATAAAATATGATCTATAAAATGGAGTGTTTATTTCAAAAATAAAATTTGTGATTTGGAAATTGACTTTGTGGGACCCGTCTCTTCTGGCGTTATCAGTATCAGTTATCTACAATTTTGAGGACGTGTCGAGCCAGATTTGTCACCTCCAATCGAGAACCGAAGCGCGTATATCCACTGTCCAATCAAAAGATCTTGTCTCTCTCTGACCCCCCGCCCTTCGTGAAGCAGACACTCCCACTGACTGGGATTAACGGACGTAGCAGAGAAAACACAGGGCCCATTTCCTGCTTTTATTATCCTTAAACCTGAATCCCCTTCTTCTTTATTGTTATTGATAGGATATTAAATAAATACTGAATATTTTGCAATTACTTTTGTCCTATCCGTTTTAGTTTGTGGGGACCTTTACCTAATGATTGGCACGTGAGCTTTTCTGTTTTATAGGTCACGTCGCTGCACGTATCAGTTATGAAAATTGTAAATGAGAATTTTCCCTGCTCACTTCTTTTCTCTCTCTCGTCTGTTACATCTCCTCTTGCTCTATCTCTATTTTCTGTTTTCTGCTTATCACTGGTATCAGAGCAGTCGATCCCATGGCTGACGGTACTCGCTCGGTAACTGCACTGAAAGAGCTTGAAGACAGGTTATACACTGAAATGGATGTCCGTTTGTCTCGAATTGAAGGGCAATTAGAAGGTGTGCAGGAGTTACGTACGCAAATGTTGGGTCTCCAAGATGTGGTCCGACGTTTGTCCATACAGTTTACGGATATTCAAGTTCCTCGAGATCGTGGACTGCACGATCACTGAGATGGGGACTATCAGGTACCCACACGATATACCAAGCTTGATTTTCCCAGTTTTTCTTCCATAGATGTGGAGGCTTGGTTGGCTAAGTGTGAGCGTTTTTTCTTGCTTGACGGCACTCCGGATGCTCGACGGACGGTCATGGCAAGCATAGCACTAGATGATGCTGCCTACAAGTGGTACCAGCACTTTGAGAAAAGTCTGAATGGAATAGTTCCATGGCTGACATTTGTTGAGGCCATTAAGATTCGCTATGGACCTCTGAATGAAGACCCAATGGAAGAGCTGATGCATCTTCGCCAGCATGGACGGCTGTCTGAATATCAACTAGAGTTTGACAATCTGATGTGCAAACTTGACTTGCCGGAGGTTCGTAAGATTGGATGTTTCATCGGCGGCCTTCGTCCTGAGATAGCTTCAGGGGTGAAATTGCTACGTCCACAATCTTTGCTGAAAGCTTCAAAGTTGGCTCGTCTTCAAGAGTCACACTTGGATTCTTTACAACAGTACCCACTTAAATCATCGGGTAAGTCTCTCCCACCTTCAAATTCATCGAAGGGTTTACTGCCGTCCTCGCCCCCCATTAAGGCACTAACATATCCCTCCAAGGATAAGTATGCAGCTACAGATCCAAGATGGGGTTTCTCATCCACTTCCAATGTGTCGAGCAACTTGAATAATAGTAAGAACATGGGTCATTCAAATTTCTCTTTTAAACAAAAGCTGACGCCAAAGGAACTTGAAGAATGTCGTGCTAAGAATCTTTGTTATTACTGTAAGAAGAAATATTCACCTGGTCATGATTGTGTACAAAAGCGTGGTTCACAGATTTTCCTTATGGAATTAGTGGAAGATGCTCTTGATGACCAGTCTATTGGGGTACAGTCGCTTGATAATGAGTCGGAAGGTACTACTAGCATTGAGGGTGAGGGGTCTTCCTCTATCCCTGTCATTTCTCTGAATGCAATGTATGGTTCCTTAGATTATAGCACCATGCGGGTGGTAGGCCGTATTGTTATGATGCTAGCTACGAGTATGATCGCCTTCCATCCTGTTCGTCCCTAATTCATTTTCATTATTCATTACCATCTGTTACTGCCAAAGCATTCCTGCATTCTTACGAACCCCAGAAGCCTCAATTTTCGAGGTAATTCACACCCACTCAATTTCTTGTTTGGTTGCCTAGAAACCGAGGAAAAAGTGGAGGGGGACTGGAATTTGTCGAATACTTCCACAATTTTTGCTGCTGGGCTCATAATTTGAGAATTGGTGCTTCAAATTCAAAACTGTCTTTTTGTTTCGTGTTGGCAAAAGGAATAGAGCATTCAATTTTTTACTAGTGATTTATAATTACTTTGAGTCCGGAAATTAACTAGTCATTGTCATCTCAATGATTTTCTTCAACTATCATAAGTTTATTTAAATTGGTTCAGGAGAACAATTTTCACATATGATTTTGTGTTGTGGATTTCTGGACTTACTTTATTATGCTAACAATCTTTCTATTTTCATATAATGCTCTTGTTTTTAAAAAGGTGAAAATCCATGCCCAAGAATCTGCGAGAGTTTCCTAAATGTAAATGTTAGAATAAATTAATTAAGAACAATAATAATGTTAGAAGAAAGGATAATGTAGATGTAAGGTGCACGTCTTGCTTCAATTCGGATTCTCTGCATTCACAGAAGTGATTGCATGTAATTTTTTTTTTCAATTATTGACATATGAGTTCTAAAAGGCTGTTGTATTTTGAAAGAGAATTGTTAGATATTCTCCTAAAACAAATGTGACATTTCTTTCAACAAGATGCTTTGTTTCTAACCTTTTCTATTCTCTAACATTTCTTGCTGATGATTGACTAGAAGAGATATCTAAATTGCAATTTTTTCCCACCAAACATCTTTTTCCTTTCTGCTCATTCAGGCACAACATACTTTTGAATTCACTTGATATCTTTTTCGTTTTTCTTTTCTAGCTTGGCATGCGGGAATGATGCAGATTATACACATCAAACATATCGCTTTTTGAGCTTGTGAAGATGACTTCCCTATCATTTTTAGGCGGAAACTATCTTAGCAGAAGAAGATTTGAAGATCATGCCAGTGAAATGGTAAATCAGTCTATCAGAAAAGACGACCCTGCAAATAATTTTCTTGGAAGTTTATCCAAAAGGGCAATTATTTGGCCAAAGGACTTAGCAGGTCCAAGGAATACAAAAGACAGCTGGTTTCATGTTGTCGCTAAGATTAAAAAGGGTAATAAGCATGATTATCCATGGCCTGACAACATGGATCCAACTATCAGCAG